AAACGTAACGGAATATACAACATCAAACAATTACATTAGTGACTACGATTTAAGAAATCCAAATCATAAAATACTTAAACATACTTAAAAATACTTAAGAAAACTTATCAGATACTTGGAAATACTTAATTGATGCTAGAGCTATAGTTTAGAGTGGGGTTTTCTCATAATAAGAGCTGCTGATCTTATGCTTGTGTGAATTCTGAAAATAGCAAGCAACGATGTCCTAGTAATAACATTTCTGATCAGAAATGGTTTAATTTACATCAAATTGAGGAATTATAACGTAATCACACATGTCATATGATAGTTATTTGAAAATTTTCTTTTTGCTCGAATGTTGTTCTACCGTTTGTGTTGTGTAAGAGAGACGACGGTAGAGCATGAGAGTACCTACGAATAAAAATAGACTGTCGGGCACGACAACGAAGCGAGTGTCGTAAAAAACGTCAACAGTTTCAACCCCTGCTCACAATTGTTGGATTTGTTGTTTTTTCTAGATATTGTTTGAAGTCTAACGTCTGTTTGTTTGTTGGTAAGTTTTTGTACATAGGGGTTTTTAGTTGGATTATTCAAAGTTATATTGAATTTTGTTGTTGATTGTTTGTACTTTGTGGCGGGTTAATGTTAGCGGTTGTGTGTTCGAGGGTTATGGTGGTTTTGGTGAAATGGTGGGAGCAGGTATTACAGTTGAGCTTTTTTATAGTTGAGCAGGATTCAGGTGGGCATCATTGACATTACATTGCTGTTAGACGTTGATGGATTTGGCTTTTAGTGAGTGTAAGATCCCTGCGTAAGCTATGTTCAAATTGTCTACGTCTGTTCGTCTATTGACTGTATTGGGTGTACTATATATGTGGCACATTTCAAGGAAGCAAGTGTATTTTGATTGTTCACAATTTTAATACCTTCTTTAAGCGCTAGAGCTGGGACTTTCCAAAAGGGTTTAGAACACGGGTCGGATTTCGAAACATTATTTTCAAAAGTTATGTTCCTCAGGGCAGAGAATTGCTCTTTAATTTGTTTTTGCAAATCCCACCAGATAATTTTCATGGCAGGATCACGTGTTCCTTGATATTGCCTCCTACGGAAATTTTTCAGACGAATCAAGAGCTGAAGATAGTCATCTATTATAATTGAATCGAATTTAACCTCGCATTTTGGTACTGAGGCAGCTCTTGCTTCAAATATTGAAGTAGCTAGAGATTCAAGAGCATAATTAATTTCATCTTTGGTTTGCAAAGGTATGTTTGGATCAATGCTATATTCCATAAATGATCGATATTGCTTCGAATCAGCTCTATGGTAATTGAAAGTGAGCTGTTGGGATATGAAACTATTTATTGGAATATTTCAAAAGTTACGGGAAGGTGATCAGAACCGAAGTCAGTATGGGTAACCAATTGGCTACAAAGTTGACGTGTTTTGCATTAAAATCATCAATACTGAATAGGTCTATGATACGTAAATTTCTGAAGGTCACTCTTGAGAAAACTCTTTTACTGGCCTACGCATTGGAATGGAAAATAGGCAGCTATAAACGTAAGTTGTCCAAATATTGTTTCGACAGAAAGTCCCAAAGTTTCAGAAACTTTGGTTTCAAATAAAAAAAAAGAATTTGATGTTTGATACGTAGGGGAAATGGCTCTAATGTTGGCCTATGGATCTAAAATTGGAACCATCGCTAAAAATCTGCTATTTATCAATTATATCTAGATGAACGCGTCATTGGGACGGTACTTATGGATATTTTTGGTCGCTATTGAAAATTTAGTCGATTGCTGAATTTCTGTATGGGCCCAAATCAGGGACACTTAGGCCGACATAACTTTCCCCTACATGTGTTTATGCCACCACCGGCTCCATTAAGACGATCATTTTGATAAAGGAAATCATTTGCGTCCCTTGTAACCTTATGGTCAGGTTTAAGAAACGTTAAAGTTATAACAGCGATATGCACGTTATGAACTCTCAACAATACTAATAGCTCATCTTTATAATCTTCAAGAGATTGAGAATTCCAATTCAAAGCATTTAGTGATTTAAAATGCATTTACTGAATTCAAAAGTCATGACTATTTTTTTTTCCTTGATTTGTTTTCTGTCGATCTTGTTTTCCGTGCTGAGCACCAATGCTACCGACGCCAGGAAGGCAGCTCCCACACCTGGACCCTACCTATCGACCCATCAACTCATGAACCGGGGACCGGCTTTACTTCCCTTCCGAAGGAAGGCGTGATCAGAGATGTTATACCTCAGAACATCCCGGCGGCGCCGACTGGGATTGAACCCAGGCCTGCTGGGGTGAGAGGTAATCACGGTTACCGCTACACCACCGGCACCGCTAAGTCATGACTATGTTATTAGCAAATTATACTCCACTTTGAAAAGCATCAAACATAGAGTTAGCGGCGCCGATGGTGTAGTGGTAAGCGTGATTACCTCTCATCCCAGCAGGCCTGGGTACAATCCGAATCGGTGCCGCCGGGATGTTCTAAGGCATAACATCTCTGATCACGCCTTCCTTCGGGATGTAAAGCCGTTGATTCCCGGTTCATTAGTTGATGGGTCGATAGGTGGTAAGGTCCAGGTGTGGGAGCTGCCTCCCTTGCGTCGGTAGCATTGGTGCTCATCTACAGCACGGAAAACAAGATCGACGGAAAACAAATCAAGGGAAAAAATAAAACATAGAGTTAGCATATCCGTAATCATGTCGATTAATGATTTCTGTACAAATTCCATTCAAGGAGCAATAATGCTACCTAACTCAAAATAATCGAAAGTTTCTTCACTGACCGTTGTTAAGAGCAGAAAAATTAGTATCTCATTGGAAGGGTGGAGCGTTTCCTACCTGTTGCTTAGAACGAAATTGTAGGATCGCTTTGTAAGTCTTACAATTCCAAAAATTGGATTTGTGGTTTTCACCACAATTTGAACATTTAAATTTCTAAGTCGTCCTTTCCGTGAGAGGAATCACCACCAAGGCATTAGGCTAAAGCCTTAACCCAAGCAGCACACTTCCATCGACAGTGACAAGTGTGCTGCTAGGGAAGCTCGTGTAGTTCATTAGAATTGAATTAAACTAAATAAAAATAACTAGAAACTCCGTTGTGCAAATCGCCAGTACGAGATTACCTTTTCATTTTGATTATTTGGACTGGCTCAACCCCAAATAATTTTGTCAATTCATCTTTGATCTGATCCAGATATTCACCACTAGGAAGATGTTTCAAGACAACCTTTAACAGACATTCAGTTTTGGTGCCGTAAGTGAAAAATTTGTGTTGCTACTCAGTAAGTTACTGGAGAAGACGTTTAAATTCGTCTAAGGTTCCATCTAATACACGACATTCATCCCGACGGTCAATTTGAAGTGGAAATCTGAAACTAGCGAAGTTCAAAAGTTTCATGCGAAGAGCATGGAAATCGGAAGTGGTTATCACCTTTTTTCTTGACATCAAGCCGTGAAAGGTATGTGAAATTTTGCCTGGATGATGGATCATTGCTCAATAAATGTCTCCAGAAGGGGAGTCTAGAGATTGCCATTTTCTTTTGCGTTTAGGTGCCAGTAGAACGTTTCTCCAAATCGACTTCCCTGCAGATTACTATAGGAATCTGAAGGATCGATGAAGATTTTTTCTAATAGATATCCACCTCCTTCTCGGGTAGGGTCTAAACATGTATCGAAAAGGGTTAAGATTCGAACAAGGTAGAAAATTTGTAGGTAATATTGAGCTGAGGAGTGCTGTTTATAGTTGTTGTAGCTTTGGGTTAGTAGTAATACTTCCTTCAGCAAAAAGCAAACAGATCGGCACGGCAAAGGTCATGATGCAGACTGATCTTAGAATAGATAGGGTAAATGTCAACTTTGGAACCCATTGCATGTTTTTGGCAACCAAAATTCATAGGTAATTTCGCTGAATTTTGTTCCCAAACACGTCACTAAATGTTTTCCAACGATTCCTTAGTCTTACAGTTTCAACTGAGTAAACGCATTTTGCCAAGTTTTTCTTGAAATTAAACATGAGCACTAAATAGTCTCGCACCGCAGAGCCACATTCTGTTTTTGCACTGCAGGTACAGGAGCGTTTTCAAGTGCACCTTCAATGAAAACACAGAATGTGGCTCTACGGTGCGGAAATTTTGAATTTTTATAGGGTGTTTAATAGCATTAAACTCTTTATTTTACGATGTGTGAACTTAAAGCCCAACTGGATTTTACGTTAGCATTCTATTATAAAAACTAATGGAAAAGCCACAAAAGAGCGATCTATCCCTGAATGCGTATCCTCAGAATGGGGACTACGTGTTGAGTTCGAAACCTTTTGGATTCGACTTCCGGTTAACGAAAAACATTTTATACCCTAGATTTTACGTATTTTTAAAACGAGATATTCATGAACCATTAATTTTATATTCCTGTGAAGGTTTCTCTGTATTATCCTTAGGACTTTACCGGGGCCCCGAAGACTAGTTTCAGATCAAAAATCAAATTTAATTCTAATATCACAAATACTAGAGTTTTCGAACTAATCTCGGAACCAAAGGGTCACATTTGCAAGATCCAGAAAACTCCAGTAGCACAGAGAATGTGTGATAATGTTTAGAAATCTCTGATAACTGAAGTTCGCTTTGCAAACTTTTGTAGCTTAAGAATGTCTATACAGATCCGAAGTATCCTAAACCTAGAGAAATTCAGAATCTCAAGATTCGTGCGGGCATACAGAATCTTCGATGTTATCAAAACATCATGATCTGACTTCTGGAACCCTGTGAAGGGTTTCGGAAGCTATTGTAGATAGTAATGCTTAAAATTATTGGAGCTTCGGCAAGTCTAGTAATAACGTTTCACACCATAAAGAAACTCATGAGTATCTTAAGGTTTCTCGGGTTTCTTGCTTTATGATGTATTTACGGAGTTTCTGAAAATCCCGCAACAACAAAAACTTACCATAACGGACAGTAACATTTGGTTTTTCTTTCCCATTTTCTCATTTCAGCCACTCCAATTTCCCACAGTGAAGTTGTGACCAATCCAATAGAAAGGTAAGCTGTTGTTCGTAACTTAAAAATTTGCATGATTAAATATAATTGTTACTATTAAGAAGCCTTAAGATTCGCAACGGTATTCAAATACATATTTGCGCAGTAATCCCGACGAACCCCCTATATTTCCAATCCCAATCGTCAATGCCCCCCTCAGCTCGTTTGATCAATACACACACACAACAATAACAAAACCATTAAACAACGCCAATTCAGCGCGAAAAACAACAAACCGAGCACAAGAAATTAGCATCCCCGACGAAGACCGTTCGTCGGAACGTCTTCTTGAAGAAAAAAAAACCCTCTTATTTGCATTTCATTATCGACCGCTGACACTGCACTCTGCCACAACAACGCCATACTAAACAGCTACTGCAGACAGTATCAGTAGCCAGCCAGCAACTCGCTCCGGAGCGGCATTGTTTATTCAAATCGAACTGCGCTCGCGATGATGGCTTTTCACACTTGCATTCGTTTTTTCGAGCATCATTGCGACTGACAGCAGCAGCAGCAGCAACGGTGAGAATGGCACCGGGGACGGGAAACCATTCCGACTTGTTATGGCTGATTTTGCAAACAATAATGCCCAGCAGAAGGGGAGCATTGATCCATCGACATTTGACGGGATGGATTACCTTACAGTTGGGTCGAGGTACAAACAAATCTTGAATGTCGGGAGACGCACATTTGGCTTCAGGCGACTACTGGTATAGGTAATGTTTACAGTATGTTGTGACTTTTTTTTTCCTGTGTTCCTTTAAACAAAAGTCAAATCCGTAAACAATGTGAATGGCGGTGAAGAAATGATCAATTTATGTAAATATGTACAATGGTATTCAAACACGCTTCAGACGGATATTTATAGCCTCTGGTTCTAGATTTTTGGCTGACAAAATAGACAGAAATCGACGTCGTTTCTAACATCGATTGATATCCGCAAGGCTGATCAAATGGACTATACACGACCGATGAGCAGGATTTCCAAAATCAAATCGGTATTTTTTCTTACAAAAATCTTTTCATCTTGTTTTCATCTTCGAATAATCAACATCAATATCTGTATAGTTTTAATATTGCGTATTTCGCTCCAAAATGAACAAAGAGGTGTTGTAAGTGCGGTAGGGGTCATAAAAGTGCGCTTTTGCATCACATCGTGTTAGAGCGTTTTGCAACAAATACATTAATGGCGGTAAGCTTAAGCTCGGATTTATTTTTAACACCGTCCCTGTTTGGAAAATCTGCCAAATGTTTGTTTAAGATTGAATAGGTTAATAGCATCGTCGATACCAAATCAACCCAACATTCGTTATCGGGATTTAAAACGGGGATAATATCAGTTGGTGCTTACCGCCATAAGACGGTTCAAGTTCATCGCGAACTTTTATCACAGTTTTCGCACTTTTAGAGTAGTCTATTGTAGTTTCGGTTGCAGTTAACAAAATATCTTGAAAGCAAACTATTTGATTTTTTTTTTGTTTAAATTTACACGAACTTGCTCTTAATGACAGTGCGATTATTACTTAGCCAAGCTTTGCATACTGTGATCCAATAGAGATTTTCACGACTGGTTGTATTGGTGCGCTGTGTGAAACTGTGGTACCGTGCCGATTCAAATTTCGGACACTTAAACTCGAATTTCGGACACTTTTAAAAGTTGATTATCTCGGTCGAATATGATCCACATGTCTTGTAAATTTTAAATTTTTTTGACTAGTGCCCTCCACGATCATTTAACATTATTACTTTGTTTCTAACTGGATGTAATATTTAATTAAAAATGAAAGTGTCCGAAATTTGAATCGTCCGAAATTTGAATCGGAACTGTAGTGAAAATCCGAGGGAAATACATAACAAATAGCTGTCAAACTAATTTTGACATATCGAATTACATACATTTTGAAGTTAACCCGAGGAAAATAATAAACAACTTTACACGGTGATAGACCCCCGTTAGTGTGCGTGCGTTAAATGTCACTAATCTCACTTAGAAAAGACATTTCAAAACTAGTTTCAAAACTAAGTTAAGATGTTCGAAAAGTCCTCTGTTGTTGATCGAATGGTTTTCAATTCAGTGCTTGTCAAATTTAAGTTTTTGTCTGTCAGAAATGAACATGCTTTCATGGAGATTAGTGACGTTTAGCGCGCACACAAGCGTAAAGTTGTAAAGTTGTTTATTATATTCCTCTAGCAAACCTAAAAAATCTATGAAATCAGATCTGTCAAAATGCGTTTGACTGCGATTTGTTATGTATTTACTCGGATCTTCACTAATACGCTCTCACATACAGCACCAATACAACCAGTCGTAAAAATCTCAAAAGCAGAATTATTTAAAAATTTCTCATCTGTCAAATTTAAGTAAATATTTAGAAACTGAACCAAAGCCTTATTATAGAATCAAAGCAAATGTAAAAATTATTAACAAACTTTCATTTTAAAATAAGGCAAACCTTCGAATAATCAATCAACTTTCACACTTAGATTATTTTACCGAAATCTGTGAAATTTGACCGAAATCTCAACAGCTGAACGTTTGGTAAACAGTTCGGTGATTTTTCACAGATTTCCTGTAATTTTTCACAGATGTCCTGTAATTTTTCACAGATATTTGGTGAAAAATTACAGAAAATCTGTGAAAAATCACCGAACGTTCAGCTGTTGAGATTTCGGTAAAATTTCACAGATTTCGAAAAATAATCTAAGTGTGTTCGCTTAATGTTGCTTGTGCATCGAAGATGAAAACTTACTTTTCTGCTCATTTGTCAGATTTACGCCCTGAAAACCGCCATGTACTGCAACATATGCCTTAGCCTTCAAAATTGAATCCATCGTTTAAGTATTTAGCCTATTCCTCAGTTTTGTCTTAAGCTGGGTTTAGACAGGGCAAGTCAGTTGAATTCAACTGACTTGAACGCGAATTGGAAGTGTAAACCATGCCATTCAACTGACTTGATCAACTAACTTGAATTGAAAAAAGTTGAACCAGGCTCAACTTCTCAAGCCAATTTAATTCCACTGCGATGATAATTTGACCTTGCCTAGTCTAAATCCAGCATTATTTGCATTCAGAACGGGAAAAATGTGCTCAACGCTAGCTGAAGAAGGTGGTATAATCAGGAAACTGATGATGAAACTTCTCAAAGTAGGGTACATAAAACTATCATTCCCTCGCTTAATATTCAGCAGCTTAGCCCAGTTATTCTGGGATGTCATGCTCCCACCAACCTGAACTTCTCCACAGATCAATCACGGAATTCATTTTCCAAGTCTTGTTCCTTACCCGATTTCAAGAAGAACGAGAAGAAGACCTCAAAATATTTGTGATTGTATTGAATACTATTATAGCTTTAAACAAGCGTTACTCAATTGTACCAATAAAAGGAGTAGCATAATGTATTTTCATAAGGGTAAGAACTTAAAATTGTATTCAGAACGTTAAAAAAAAATTTGGGCTAGTAGCCTATATTTTGCCGCTGGGCAATGAAAATAAAGGCAGAACAGTCTCCCCGAGCATGCTTTGATAGCCATGTTATTTTAATCTCATTCCTTGCTGTTCCTGTCATAATGCACACTACATATTGTCTCGATATGGCCGTTCTGGAATTTTTGAAAGTGTGGAATTGATTTGGACGATTCTTCTGAAGACAAATGAATGTTTGGCATATTTTAGTTGATTTCGTATATTTATGCAAGTGATTTCATAAAAATTCACAGTTTGTTCTGATGATTACAGAAAAAATACCAAACACGTTCTGTCCAATATTTTAAAATAAAGGTAACGGTGTCCCATCTGATGCATGCACCTTTTTTACCTTATGCAATTCATATTTCCAGGCTGAGAAAAACCAAGCTCAATTCTATAAAAACGAAAGGAGAAAAAGCAGAATTAGTTTGAATCAATTGTTTATTTTCGAAAAAAATCATATATTTGTCATTTCTGCTATAACGGGCGTTATAGTTTTCAGGCGAGATGCATTCCGCTCGGAATCGATTCCCCGTGAGGTTTTCATGGACTTCATAGCTGCATATCGTTTTTCATCAACACTGATTCGTTGAATACCAAATTATAGCTACCTTTTTGTACTAAGACCTTTCGGATGTTCATCTGTCAAACTTTCATAGCAAATCAAAACAAATATACTAGTAGTACTAGAATTTCGACTAGAATGGGGTACGTTCATCGATGTGCTTAGGACCGATAAGCTAGTCCAGTGTGAGCCAATTTAAAATCGTTAGCTTCCACCAATTGCTTATTCTCCTGTCGTCCATTACGCAACAAATCGATGCCCGAGCAGGAACCGATAGCGAAACGATAACAAATAAATATCTTATACCAGACTTTGGTATGCTTGTGGTATAAAACCTTGTTTTGATATTATTCAGCTATCGAAATATTTTGTAAAATATCAAATGAATGAAGAGCTTTGAGAGGGTTGGTTTATTATCTTTAAATTACGTTATAGTTGCTTATCTTTTGCCAGATACGCGTCTTAAGATAAGCAATTATATCGGAATTTATAGGAAATAACCAACCCACTCAAAGCTCTTCATAAAGGGATTCCGTTAAGAGGTTCGACCAATTTAAAGGATTGATCAAATGAATACCAAAATAACAAAATTTGATCTTTCAGTTTTAAGACAATAACGCCTAAAAGAGTTATTGAATTGGTATAAGATGACCTTCAAAATAACAAACTATGGTATTCAGGCATCTAAAAAAGCGTATATTATCCATTTGTTGTTGTTGTTATTTATTAGTGCGTTATTCGTAGAATATTTTTGAGGTATTATTTTTTTGTATTTTACCTCTTATGTCAGTCTCACTAACGGGTGTTCAATAAAAAATGAGGTTTTTTTCAGTTATATAGCTAGTAGAAAAAAATTTCAACGAATTCAGTATTTTTATTAATATATAATAAATGTAATAAATGTACTAATATAATGTTTTTTCTTCAAAATAAAAACGTCAATGAATATTGGAGAAGAGGCTTTGGTCAGCCGTACGACGCAACTTAGTCGCGATGCTCTCACAAGAGCGCTGGACGGCACTGAAATCATTCTCATTTTTTATTGAACACCCGTTAATATCATATTTAGGTTGCCA